TCTTTCAGCAAACAAAGAATGTTTAATGGCGGAGGTGCCTCCTTGCAACATTTCCTTTAAAGGTGGCAAGGTCTTGAGAGAAGAGTGTGTGTGAAAAAATGCTCTGTGCAGTTTTTGAACACTGACAGAAGATGTATGGTCAAAATAAGGGCGCTTTTTTTTTCATTATTCTTTGAAAAGCTCTCTTTTTTAAAAAAGGTAGAATAGTCACATTTTATTTCTGGAAATAGATTGGATGACAGTAATATTCCAAGTAAACTACAGAAAAAAATCGTCATTACCTACTACACATTTCATGCTTTAGGATTAAAAATTATTCCCTCTGCCTGCGAGATGACATTCTGTTCAGCAAAGTTTCAGTGTATGGGCACAGAGAATGCAAACTTCAGTTTTACTTGCATGGAGACATATTTCCACAATGAGAACAGCTTAGAAATTGTGGGAGAATCTTGAGTTAGGCCTGTCTATAGTTTTTATGCTTATTTCTTACAGTCCTGAACAACATTTTCCCTCCTTTTTAGGTTTACTGTGGACTATTTTCTTCTTTGGGTTACTCATCAGAATCAATACATATTACCTAGCCATCACTAGTAATTATAGAGAAATACCCAAAAGTTCACCCCGACGTGACTTGCTTTAGTACTAAGTTTTTAATTGCTGCATACACTGACATAAATAATAGCTGCTCTGTAAGCATTAATTTAAATGACAGCAGAAAGAAGTGAATACTTAATAGTGTAATCGTTTTAAAAGGTGGTCAAATGTAGGTATGATTAGCTTATGATGTATGGAAAGAAAGGTAATTAAAATAATAACAGTAGCATTAAATTACATGTTGAGTAGAAGCTTTAGATTTTAATTAGACTATGCATACATGCATCCTTTGCATATTTTTTTCGTATTCACATAGCCAGAACATAATTCATTTCAACATCTCTGACTGTGGTAACTACTAAACTGATTTGTTTCACCTCATCTTTTCTATTCTGGGCATTTTTCTAAGGGATGTTTTGATGCATCTTTGGATGTAGGATGGCTGGAATCCTAACTGAAACCTGAGAATGAATTGAGCGATGTAGAATCTTTTTGCTCTGGTAACATAGATATACATTTTGCTGGGTGGCAGCTCTGTAGGTAGTGTACGTGAACTCTAAATAATTATTTTTTCTTTCAGGTGACATTAAACAAGCTGTCATGAAATAATCCATTTCTTAGAAAATTTCAACCTGTTTTCCTCTTCTACAACTCCATTTTTCAGTGTGGCTGTATGTCTATCCAGCCGATTTGCAGCCCTTTAGTAAAAATCACATCCAGTCAGAAACAAATGGACTGTTGGCGGTAGAAAATGATTTAATCTATTTTGTTCAGGATGGTCTGATCCAGAAGATGTTTGAAAGTTTGTATTTAATCTTCACATCAATACTGTCATGACTGATGGAAGACCGGGAATAGCAGGCAGGGGCTGGGAACAGCTGCAGCCCCTTCTGTTTCTTGGAAACCAAACGGGTGAAATGAGGAATTCTCAGCCCAGTTGTGCTGGGAAAGCCAATGTCTGTGCTGCCTTGCTGCTGTAATCTGTCAAGGCAGGGAATTTGTGGTTCTAGCTGACATAAATTCTGAGATGATGAATTTGGGTCTTTTGTTTTTCTGGCATAAAAGAAGAAATGAGAGGAAAAGAGACTGAGTGAGAACAGATTTTTATTTGTTTACACTGTAAAATATATGGATTTGGGATTTATGCTTCCCATAACAGAATGTTATGAGAGCACTGAAGTAGTTTTTCTCCTAATATTTTCCTGATTTGGTTTGTCTGGGCTGATTGCATCCAAATGACCAGATACTTTCAGTGGTCAGAACTGCTTCCAAATTGCTTTTTAAACTTTAATACCATCTGCTTCTCAGCTCTCAAAATGGGAGAGAAGCATGGATTATTACATATTGCACATATTTGCTGACAATCCTTGCTATTGAGCCTTGCTCAGACCACCAGAACAGTCTTACCATGTGAGGAATTCCCAGCTTTCATATTGTTGCATAAAATTGTACTAGTTGTATTGGTTTAAATTTGCGTTTGCTTGATCTCTCTGCTTGGCAGCCCTATTGCTGAGGTACTTCCAGTTACGACTTTTCCATGTTACCATCTGATGTTTCATGTGTGCATTTGTTTCTTTCACAGCTGGTTTCCCGGGCAATTTGATTTGCGGTAACAAATATGCAGTAATTCAAAAACTATATTTGAAGAGCTGGGAGAAAGCACCAGAATGTAAAAACATGTTTACTAGTGTGTCAGTTCAGCATAGCACCATGGAAGGTTTTGTTTTATTAGAGGATGCCATCTCATTGATTCAGAATTCAACCAAGATGAAGCTATTTGAGTGTTGTTGGGATTTGTATTTAGAAAGTAGTAGCCTTACTTCAAAATTACATGACAAAAGCCATTACCAATAATTTATATTTAATTCTGCCATTCATCAGACCTTTTACATGCCTTCAGAGAAACACAAAATCTAGCGATATTAAATTGCATCTCTAATGAAATAGCATATTGAAATGCAATCATGCCACTGATGCTATTTTAAACATTTTTTAGCATATGTTAATGAGTAAGAATGTTTTTTTTAAAGAAACAGAGGATGTATCTAACCAGCATTACCGTAGGACTTCACCTTGAATGTAAAGCGTTTTATTAAAGAGTTGTGATAATAGTTAACTTCATCATTGCTGTCATCTTGAGTGTCTTCACTACTAATTTCCTAGGATACATTAAAAATATGATCCTTAGAATTACTATTCTTTTCTGCCTTGAGGTGAGATATTCAATTTTAGCCTATATGTTTCAGGATTGTACTGTAGTTGTTGCCTGTCTCCATAGTAGCCTATTAAAGAAATCTCCATTATGCTATTTTACTCTTTGTCTCTGCTTTTTCCACTCCAATTATGTCTTTACACACTTGGCAACCTTAATTCTGAATCACGGTTGGCATTGTCAAAATGTAGATGGCTCATAATGTCCACCAGCCATTTCATCAGGTTTTGGATAGGGAGCAGTCTGGCAACCGTTTCCCAAGATTAGTGTTTGCACCTATTTCTTCAAGCTGACCGTCATTTAGGAGGTTCTTTTGTTAGTTTTGATTCACGCATGCAGAATATGATTTTTCTGTTCTTTCAGTCTTTTGGGTTCCAGGAAAATCAGTTTTATGGGAAAGCTGGCTCGCTAACTGGTTGGTTGAAAGCTGTACTTTGAGCCCATTAACCTCTTTTATATCTGCAGAGGGAGTTTTTACCCTTTTTCTCTGGCTTAGATTATACCTGTCAAATTAGATTTCAGATACTTTTGCTTTTTCCCATTGTCGATGGGACAAAGCCTCATTTGCCATCTGGTCTTGAAGGTTTTTTGGTGCTGGCAAGTATTATGAGCATGTACTTCATCTGTGCAATATTTGACCCTTCAAACACCAGATGAAAACACAGTGTTTAGAATTTCTAGTCTAATATTTAATTACTGTGCACCTTAATCAAACACATGACACAAAAGATCAATAGATTTTTGCTTCAAATTAACTTTGAGGTCAGTGTATACAAGAAACTGGGGAATAAAAATTATTTCATTACCAAAGAAAATCACTTAGCTTATAAATTTTTAACGAAAGGCCATTAATAAAGCTACAGATCAAATTTAATATCTTCTACACTCACTACTGTGAAACTTTTTACAGTCCATAAATTTACTTAAGTGGTATTTAAAACCTGTCAGGGTTTGTTTTTTTCCCCAGTAAGAAAGTAAGTTTCCTCCTACAGATCTTCTGCTCAGCAAGATGAGTGTTTGATTGAAACATATTGTCTGTTCCGTGTGCATAATATAAATGATGCAGAATCTTTTGGTCAGGATTTTGCCAAAAGGCTACTCAAAAGTATATTCTAACCATGTGGTTTAGTTTTATTATTTGAACTTGAAATATGCAGCTTTTGTCAGGTTCTGCTGAGATAGGATCATTTTCTGTACACCTCATCTTTCTGGGTGAAGAGATTTGGTTATTGCAGTGCGATGGTTGTGAATGGAAAAATCATCAGGCAGTTTACTGGTGCAGAATGGAGCCACTCTCACCTCTTGGGTGACAGCAGCCCTCAAACATGTTATGCTTTCCAAAAAGTACCTGTTTCTACTCAGTTTTATTGCCTTTATCTCTGAGTCTTCGACAGCTTTGGTCTTGATTGTGTGAGACAACAACTGTCCGTCCTTGTCTTCACCATGACAACTGAAATCGGATGGCACGTCCAAAATGACTTTCCCCACTACTTCTTGTCTGGTGTGATGACAGGTTGTCCTACAGCAAGATCTTTAGCCCTGAAACTTTCCTCGTTGCTCTGACAAAGCAATTAAAGACTTTTCGTTAGGATGCGGTACTGTGATCAGTTTTTGTCCTCAGATGTTTACTTGTAGAACATTGGCAAAGTAGGAGAGGACAGTTTATTGGAAGGAATGCCTTATTTATTTTGTAAATGTCTCTTAGTTTTGGACTGAACTGCACTAATGTGCCATGAGAATAACCAAGCTAAATTAATAGCAGGAGGTCAGGATCCTGGTACCAAAGGTAGGGTCTGCATTAACAGTGGAGGGTCAGAGATAACATGTGCAGAAACCACCTGGAAAGGGATTTATGCAATTACAAAAAATTCTCCTTGGGTTGTCACGCTCTCATGCACTTGCCAAGCCATAATTGGGTTGTGGTTTTTACTGGTGGGTTTTTCTTTTAACAGCGGCAAAACAAGACAAATGCTTTTCGTTGTAAGTCAGCAGGAGCACACACTCAAGATCTTTCTACTCAAGAAACATTTTAGTGTTCAGGCTAATGCCTGCATGGGTGGGGGAGGACTAGGGGGCAGGTCTACTAGGTAATCTATTTATTTACACCTTTTTTGAAAAAAGAGAATTGATGCAAAAGCAATTATTTTAAGGAAATCACAGCTAGCAGATAGCTGACTTCTGTCTCCCGTTGCAGCTGCACTCTGAGCGTTACCCTGGAGCAGGCGATCATCCTGGCTCGGAGCCACGGGCTACCTCCTCGCTATATCATGCAAGCCACAGATGTCATGCGCAAACAGGTACAACGCTCGCTGTGGGTAACGTCTTGATGTTTCCTAGCAAGCCCTGTTATCGTCAAACAAGAATGACTTGACCAAGCATTTTTTAACCTCCATCTTAATGTTGTGTAATGTCTCTGTGAGTTTTCTCAGTTTGGGTATTTTGTTGTTTTTCTTAATTATCTTCCTTTGTTGTTGACTGAAAGGTGGTTTTGTTTGTTGTTTTTTAAATAACTGTTTTTAACCAGATGCTTGCTTTCTCTCTGTGTGTAAATGGATCATAATTTTCACAGGGTTATGATTTTACGTAATGACTTTTGTATAGTAACTACTGTGGCATCACCTTCCATCAGAATAGTCTGTTGAATAAGACAATCTTTATTTTAATATATATTATCCATAAAAAAGTTAATAACTTAAGATTATTAACTATTGTAATAAAAAGTGACTTATACTGAATGAAGGGGAAGTGTAAGAGGGAAAGGAAGAAATAAATACCATGGTTCGTAGCTTTTCAGGCAAGGTTCCTGAGAACGATGTGCTTATTTCAAAATAGTGTTTTCTACTGTTTGGTCATAATAGATTATTAGGATTTAGAAGCTGTTTTGGGTAGGTAACCACCTCAGCATGAACTCATAGTGCTAAGGTATGACAAAAAGTGCTGGATTACAAAGCAATATCGGCTGAAGATGGAGGATATACTCTACTGTATTGGTACAGCTTTTCCTAGAATATCTTGTTATCAGATAAATATTTCCAGAAGGATGTTTGGAATCGTGGAAGGAGTTCAAAGGAGGAGCACGAATAATCCAGAGGTTGTTAGACAAGGCTTATGAGGTGAAGATTAAAGAGCTCAACCTATTCAGCTGATCAAAGAGAGGCTGAGTAGGGGCTTAATCACTCTGTGTATGTATGGAACATATATCCCAGCCTTGGTAGCTTCAACTTCATGACAAAAGCACAAACAAAATACAAGATGCACTCGATATTCAAGTGAAAAAAATATAATGAAATATTGGAACAATTAATCACAGAGAAGATTCATAATTTCTGATTTTACATTTGCATCTAATTTTATTATTTTCATAAATTTTGCTCCATATTCTGTGCAGCAGTCACTGTTCAGTTATGAAAATGATTAAACAGCTGTACTTTTACCTTGCTGTAGACAAAAATACACATATGCTAGATCAAACCTTTAGTCTGTTAAAGCAATTGTGTAGATATTCTCAAGCGATAGATTCTGATCACTTATATGTAAGTGCTGCTGCCTAACATGGATACATCAGAGTAATTAGTCTCATTCCTTTTCATATCGGAGTTTCACTTTATTCAGTGCATAAATTAAGTTTCTGTGGTGAACAAATACCCTCAAGGTTCTTGACTCAGATCATGTAGGCCTTTAACTTGACTTGAAGAGAAAGCTACTGCTGTATAGGTATAAACTTGCATGTGTAGGTTGGTATGTCTGATCCTGAAGTTCTAGACAAAAGGCAGATCTGGTTATTTTGCAATCAAAAAAATGCGGACATAGTTTTGCATATGTCTGCTTTCATCAGGATATTTTCTGTCAAAGGGTACACTTTCAATGTACAGTTCTAGACTTTTTTCAAAAATGTTGATTCATTTGTGGATCTTCTGCAGTTTACTAATTGAAAATGAAGGACAAAATGAAAGTAGGTTTTGAGCAGCTTTAACTGTACTTGCTGAAACAGAGATGTAGGAAGCAGCCTCCAGTGAGGCTGCATTCTCTGAAGTAAAACAGCAGGTGATCAATAGCTGTTAAAGATACCAATATCTCAATACCACCCACAGACACTGCCAAAAAGTCTGCTAGTATATCAGGCCAGACTTTTTTCACACATTCTTCCTCCTGCAGGAAACCACTACAGCATTTAATAGAGTAATAATCTTTTGTTGTAATTCTAAATCAGTCTTGGAGTTCTGTAGCAGAAATATAACCCTCCACTAAATTGTAAATGTTTTGGAGTAATTTCAACAACGCACTATGGTATTTTCTAGAAACCTGTTCTGAATTTAATGTTTAAATTATCTGTAGGATTTAGGAGCATAATGGGGGCCATAAAACTTGGGGATGGGGGGGAATGCTTCTTGAGGTTTAATGCAGAACATTTAGTTAAGGGCAATACATGTGTCTCTTACCTGGGTGAATATAAAAAACCCAACCAACCAAAAACTTTGTTAGCCAATTTACACCCTGAATCTTTTGTGGAATGAAGAGATTAGCCACAGGGAGGTGCAAATGAAAGGACTTCTATTCCATTTGTTATTCTGGAGATGCCAGCAATGTTCACTTCTAGCAGTATCGGCTTTCCACAAGGGGACTCGAAGCTGATACCTCTTCCAGCTTGGGGCACCAGTTCTGAGTAACTGGAGACACACGACTGAATGGATGATCTCAGGAAGTGGCTTTTTTCTTTTGAGGTTGTGGTCATGTTTAAGAAGACTCGTAATAGCATTGGCTGTATTGTTTGAACAATTTCAAAATAACTGCCCTGTTAGTCATAATTAGGTATTTCCAAGTACCCGTCCTGCCAGAGCTAGACAAAAGAGACCAGCTTGTGAGGCCTGGTGTGAACTTGGGTCTGTGGGATGGTTTTAGTTAAGTGCTTTCTGTTTTTCATCTGCTAATCCAGCCTGGAGTGCTTTTTAAAGTAAAAATTTTGACAAAATATCCCAGCTATCGTTTATGAGCTTTATTTGCTCATGTATGTTTGTTCATATAAACATCTGTACCCACAAAATACTACGTAAAGCATACTGACAAGAGTGTGTCTTCAGGGTGCAGCAAAGTGTGGAGAGGCCAGAGGCCTAGGAAAGCAGCTGCAGGAGGGCGCAGGGCTCTGAGGAAGAAATGTAGCTAAAAAGCTGATAAACAGAAAAGGCTAGGAGAGAATTTGTGTTGTCTTTTAAGTGAGTAATCATTTTTCCATACCTTTTCATGAGTATAACAACAGCACTGCATTTTGAATAATTCTCATAAGAATTGTACTGATTTAGAGCTCGTTGAGCAGGGCATAAAGAGAATCTGTTTTCTTTATGTGACTGGTTCTTGCTATCCTTAAATTAGTGTGTAGCTTGAAAATAAACCTATCATTTTTTCTCATGGCAATGAGAGTACTAGTTCTTCTATGGGTCCATATGGATGGTGGTGTCTCCTCTGAGCTGCCGGCATCTTTCACCAGTGCACTGGCAGTACTGGTATGCAGAGGGAACTATTCTGGCGCTGTGTAGCATAATTGTCCCTTATGCTTACATCAGATGAATGATGTAAATATTTACATTGCTATAACTTTAAGAATAATATTGGAGAAGTATAAATTAACAGTATATTGAAATAGAAATGGTGTAATGGTGCTCATTAGAGACAAAGAGATGTCACATAGGAAGTTAGTAGTGGTTGTAAGTAAGGTCTAGTTTATTCTCCTGCTAAACAATAAATTATGTGGTTGTATAAAGCTTGACTCCTTTTTAAATTAGCACATTTGATTTATTATGTGAGTAAGATACTAAAATTAATAGTGAGTGATGCAAGTAAAAATAGGCTGATTTTTGTTCTCAGAGGTAGTAACAGCACTGACGTTCAGGATCTACATCTGATTAATTTAGATAATTTTCCCATATATATGTATATTCTGGCTCTCAGTTATGTTAATCATATGCCAGTCTCAGCAGTCAGTCATGGTGGGGTTTCTTTATTATGATAAAATTTTAGAAAATGGCACTGAGGAAAGGACACTGAAGGTGATGAAGGTCTGGACTCAACATGTCTAACTTTCTAACAAACACTGGATCAGCTATCCTTACGTAATTCATGACAGACACCTGTCATATCTATTCTCAAACCTCCAGTAGTGGAGACTGCTGCACAGTGATTCCCAAGTGGTCTGTTCCAGAGTTTTCTTAAGTTTCTCATTAGGAAGTTTTACTTAGTGCCTCATTTGAGTGTTTTTATTCTTTTTATCCCTTCAATAGAAGTCTGATGTTTTCTGTCCAGTGTACTGTAGACTTAGAGACTAGATTTTACTCCCTTTTTAGAAGCAGACTTTTAGTATTTTGAATGTTTCCAGGGACAGGGCATCTACAACCTCTCTGGGCAACCTGTGTTTCACCACCCTCATCATAAAAAATTTCTTCCTTATAGCTAGCCTGAATCTACCCTGTTTTAGTTTAAAACCATTAGCCTTGTCCTATTGCTACAGGCCCTACTAAAAAGTCCATCCCGAATTTGATTATGATTTCCCTGATAAGCCATTGCTTGTGTAGACAGCAGAACATCGGTTCGTCTGGTCTTTCTTTTTTTCAGCTGTGTTTTCTTACCTAATCATTCTCCCTATTCTCCTCTGAACTCTTTTCAAGTCTTTATTAAAGACGAGAATGAACTATGAAGAATTACAAAAGGATCTTACAGGACTTCATGACTCAGCAATAAAATGGCAGATGAAAATCAGTGTAGATAACTTTTAAGTGATGCACAGGTGAGGAAAAAAAAACCCCTAAGTTCACATTCAAAATAGTTGACTGTGAGCTTGCCATTACATCTCATGTTCAAGACCTCAGGATATGATAGAAAACTTCAGCTCAATTCTCAGTAGCTATCAATAAAGCAAATCAGAATTTATAGTGGTGTAGGCAAGAATAGATGACAAAGTAGAAATCATGCTGTCATGACCCTTCATTTTGAACTATCTGATGTTCTGATCCCTTCCTTGAGGATATAGCATAGTGGAAAAGGTTCAGAGAAGGTCAGAAAAAAATTATCACTGGTTGGGTATGGTTTATAGACAGGACAGACAGACAAAGTAATCTGGGATTGTTCATCTTCATGAGTGAAGGAGGATATGACAGAGGTCTAAAGAACATGTGGCACAAACAGGGACTGATCATCGTCTTCACCAGTGCAGAATGAAAAGGCATCAAATGAAACTGGTAGATTCAAACCAAATTAAGATAGTGGTTCTTGACACAACTAGCTAAGATTGTACCCAAGATGTGGATCATCTTCCACAAGGAGGTTAGTGATGTGATGTTATTCATGGGTTCAAGGTGAGATGGGGAAGAAGAGAAGAGGATCACTGAAATTGATTAAATACGTACTTGCTGTTGAACAGAGGAAGTATTGAGTGACTAATGATTGAATTCTGGAGGAGTTTCTGGGGAAAGACACATGTTTGTTGTGGTCTGTAGTAATGTGATTTTGCAACTGTTGGAGACAAGCTCACTGAGCTAGATGTAAAGCTAGTAAAATCACTTTTATATTCTGCCTTCAGTTTTGTAGGTACTCTAGTTATTTTATCTATCTTTACCACTATTTTTTTTTCCTAAAAGAAATGTAAGGAGACAGTATTTTTTGTGGCATGTGTTGATTTACATAAACTCTGAGAACCTACCTGGATGTAACAAGACGGCCTTTTTCATCTTTTGTTTGAGCCCATAACAGTGAAGTAATACCTTCTGAATTACCTGGGTACCAGATTTCAGTCAAATGTGAGGTCTAGCCTTATTCTATGTATTGAATCAATGATTATACCTCATTTTTACGTCATATGCAGCTGCCGTTGCAGCTCTGTTTGGAACATAAATTATCTTTGATGTTTCACACGAATCTTAAAATCTCGCTGTAAGAATTCTGAGATTATATATTTTTGTGCTTTGTTACTTTGTCCTGAATTTAGGTAGTACAGAAGGAGAAATAAAGGGAGAGTCAGTGTAGGTATTATAGACGGAACAAGTAGTGTCCATCTCCTTTGAAATGTTAGAAAACATAAAGAGACTGTAAATCTAACAGATATGTTTCTTTGTGATGACTATTTTACATTAATAAAATAGCACTTTAAAAGCTAAATCTTTTAAAAATAAATTTTACTAAGCTCTTTCATATATCTAAGCTAATTTGTTTGCAAAAGAGTCTGCATTTTTTGCTATCATGGTATATGAACATTGTGCATGCTTTATCAACTTCCTCCTTACTGCATGAGTCAGTGAGAGAAAAGTACTTTCATGATTGTTTTTCAAAGGATCAACTGAGGTACAGAGAGACAAGCTTGTCTACTTGACCCTGTTTTAAGCAGGGGTGTTGGACTAAACAATCTTGGGAGGTCCCTTCCATTTTTTTTGTGATTCTGTGATTACAAAGGAAGATCAACACCCGCATTTTTCTAATCCCAATTTAGTGCCTCAATTAAGGCCATTTTTCTAGATTTAACTAGAAAGCTATTCATAGGAAGTAATCTGTAATATTTGTTTGTTCAGAAGTTTATAGGAAATAAGTGACATTTCAGAAAATAACTTTGTTATCCATGCCTTATACAAAGAATTTGACAAAAATCAAACAAATTGAAAAAAAGATGTGTTTGGATTGTTTTAAACCTTAAATGTTAATTGTGTATGGAGTCTTTAATGTTAGTAAGATATATATGTATGCGTTTAATGACAAGTGGAATGATTTTTGTCTCTTTTCTGTGTATTTCTCTAAGTGGAGCATTAATGTACTGCTTTAACTTGTTCCCCACTTTAGAAGAGGGGACTTGTTTTGGGACACGGAGCATATGTATTATTTAACTATAATCAATAGTTATGTTCATCTAGAAAGCTCAGCAAACTTTCTAACTTGTGTTGGAATAAATGAAGCAAAATTGTTGTTTTTCTTTCACAGGGTGCGAGAGTACAAAACACAGGCAAGAATTTAGGAGTGAGGGATCGAACGCCACAGTCTGTCCCAAGGTAACTGATTGTTTGTGTCCTAGACCATGATTTTGTCTAGTTTGTGCCAGATTCTGCCCTAGCTGCTCAAAAGCTAACAGTAAACATTGACTGTATTGTGCACTAACTGGTAAGATTTGTGTTTTAATGTACGTAAAATCAATTACATTTTTAGCCATACAGTTTTACTTAAAGTAATTGGTTGCAGAAGTTCAGGCTATGTAGCGATTCAAAACATGTCCATTTTTGAAAAATGAAACCTAGTTCATATTAATTATGAAAACATTGGAGTAAGTCCTTCATCACTTGTGATGTTTAGTGGTTTTGAGGAAATATTCATAACTAAATCCATAACCCCATTTTAATGAAATACTGTACTGCAGTATCTCAGCAAAATCATGTTCTAGTTGCTTTTAGAGATGATGTAGTCTTTCTTTGTCTCTTTCTGAAACATCCATTAGAATGAGAAATGCGACTGTTCTATATTTATCCAGCTTTTTAATGCTGTGATGGATTGCAGGTTCCTGAAATGTTTCTTAACAAGCGCAATACCTGTAAATGAAAATAACCAAATATCAATGTTCTTAATTTTATCTTAAAGTGGTTTTATTAATCCAGCTCTAACTTAACCCTTTTTTTTACTGATTTAAAACATAATGTTTGTTTGTTGACTAACAGTAACACACTGAATGAGCTAAACAGATATGTGGAATACCTAACAGACCCACTGTAGTGTTTAAATTTCAGTAAGGAAACAGTGAGTTAGTAATACCTGATAGAGCTACCTGTGTGAATGAACACATCTGCTATCCATAGCCTCACAGAAAGACTGTCTTCTGGGTTCTGACCACTAATACTCAGGAACTTTTTCTTATGCAATTTGCTCCCCTGTTCTCAGGTGTCACAGTTTTTCCCCACAGGGAATCAGGCTACTGCTCATAATTTGTTCGTAACAAATCACTGCACATTGTTCCATGCCTGTGCTTGATCCGATTCTAGAAGAGTGTATCTTAAGTGTATAAGCTGTGAATGAATCTGAGTAGCAGCTGCTGTTCAGTTGCTGAGTAGCAGCATTTGTCAGCATTTGTCGGAGCATATATGCATCTTGCATACCCCATAAAGGAGATTAAATAAGATCCAACAAAACTACTGATTCTAGGGTAAACCCATCAGCAATAAAGTCATTGCCCTTACCAGCAGATCAGGGCATCCCTTCTCACAGTAATGCCTAGCTTAGAGGGAATCCAGGACCAAAACTGCCTGACCAACTGTCTTGCATTGTGGAAACCTAAGGCAGTAAAGTAACATTTTAGTACAGTAAAAACTGTGAGAAGCCTTCTCATATTTTGAAATGGTATGGATTTAGCCTTAAATGGACTCCTTCATGACATAATTCTGAAGACAGCCAAAGAATCATTGCAAACCAAACTTTCCCGATCTCTGAATGACAGAGCACGTATCTAGATTCAGAGCGTTTGTGATTGATAAAGGAAAAATCTAAGTTCTTAAAAAGAAAAACCCATTAAACTTTTTTTGGCTTTGCATCAGTTGAGAAAAGATAGCCTCATTCCAGTTGACACTCCCACAACATAGCAATGAAAAGCTGAAGGAAAATCATGAGATAGCTCCTAGAACATAGAATAGCCTGATGCATCCAGCACCCTTGCCAGTCAGCAGCAACAGCAATGTCACAGGACTATCTCGTTGACCTCAGTGTTCAGGGCATTTGGTGAACCATTAGAGACGTTAAGTCACATAAGTCAGAATAGTCTTCAGCAAGAGTGATACTTTCGATGTATAGATAAACAATACTTTGGGCCCACTGTAGGAGAAGATCAGGTTCGAGACAAGTGCACATGCATGAGTCCATGGACCTGATGAGTTGCATCCGTGGGTCCTGAGGGAACTGGCAGATGAAATTGCGAAGCCACTATCCACCATATTTGAAAAGTTGTGGCAGTCCGGTGAAGTTCCCACTAATTGGAAAAAGGGAAACATAACCCCCATTTTTAAAAAGGATAAAAAGGAAGACCCGGGGAACTATAGGCCTGTCAGTCTCACCTCTGTGCCTGGCAAAACCATGGAGCAGATCCTCCTGGAAACTATGCTAAGGCACGTGGAAGATAAGGAGGTGATTGGTGACATGGCTTCACTAAGGGCAAATCTTGCCTGACAAATTTGGTGGCCATCTATGATGGGGTTACTGTGTTTGTGGATAAGGGAAGAGCAACTGATGTCATCTACCTGGACCTGAGCAAAGCATTTGACACTGTCCCACACGACATCCTTGTCTCTAAATTGGAGAGACGTGGATTTGATGGATGGACTGCACAGTGGATGAGGAGTTGGATGGATGGTTGCACTCATAGAGTTGTGGTCAAGGGCTTGATGTCGAAGTGGAGACCAGTGACGAGTGGCATTCTTCAGGGCTCGGTACTGGGACGAGCACTGTTCAACATCTTTGTCCGCAACATGGACAGTGGGATTGAGTGGACCCTCAGCAAGTTTGCCGATGATACCAAGCTGTGTGGTGTGGTTAACACACTGGAGGGAAGGGATGCCATCCAGAGGGACCTTGACAGGCTTGAGAGGTGGGCCTGTGTGACCCTTATGAAGTTCAACAAGGCCAAATGCAAGATCCTTTACATGGATCAGGGGAATCTCAAGCATAAAGACAGGCTGGGAAGAGAATGGATTGAAAGCAGCCCTGAGGAGAAGGACTTGGGGTGCTGGTTGACGAGAAGCTCAACATGACCTGGCAGTGTGTGCTTGCAGAAGGCCAACCGTATCCTGGGCTGCATCAAGAGCAGCATGGCCAGCAGGTCGAGGGAGTTGATTCTGCCGATCTACTCTGGTCTGGTGAGACCCCACCTGGAGTCCTGCTTCCATCTCTGGGGTCCGCAGTACAATAAAGACATGGACCTGTTGGAGTGGGTCCAGAGGAAGCCATAAAATTGATCAGAGGGCTGGAACACCTCTCCTATGAGGACAGACTGAGAGAGTTGGGGTTGCTCAGCCTGGAGAAGAGAAGGCACTGGGGAGACCTTAGAGCAGACTTTCAGTACCTGAATGGGGGCTACAGGAAAGCTGGAGAACGACTTTTTACAAGGGCATGTAGTGACAGGACAAGGGGTAATGGCTTTAAACTAAAAGAGGGCAGATTTAGATTAGCTATAAGGAAGAAATTCTTTACTATGAGGGTGGTGAGGCCCTGGAACAAGTTGCCCAGAGAAGTTGTGGCTGGCCCCTCCCTGGCAGTGTTCAAGGCCAGGTTGGATGGGGCTTTGAGCAACCTGATGTAGTGGAAGGTGTCCCTGCCCATGGCAGGGGGGTTGTAACTAGATGATCTCTAAGGTCCCTTCCAACCCAAAGCATTCCGTCATGCTCAATTCTTTGCCTTGAAAACAATTTTACCATTACATTTGGCTCCATTTAACGTCACTTGACAGTGTTCTCAGTTCCCTGCAGCTGCCACTGTCTTTTCTCAGCTGATCTGTTTGTACCATCTCAAATAGTTGTTCCATATTTATTGACACAGAACAGGCTGTTTCTGCTGTATACTGTCTTCAGCAACTGTAGCTCCTTAGGGATTTGTGCAGCCTGTGTTAGTTTGCTTCAGCATTCCCCTACATCAAGACTACATTAAGTAGTCTTAATGTTTACCATTGTAACTTGAAGAATACAGACATTGGTATTTGGGGCTGAGCTTTTCTGCACATTGTTCCATAGGAATTAGATTTTGCTAATACGTCATCAAGAACTAACCCCACTGCAATTACTTAGATGAGATTCTGACAGTAATTTTGTCTGTCTTTTGCCAGCTTTGAGTATTACTGCTTTATTATACCAGCAGAATCAAGTAACTCAAATAACCCCAGTTTATTTTTCTCTGCATACTTGACTGTATAAAGATCAGGCCGTCTTATTCTCTCACAGGTATACAAATGTGAGATATATGTGTATTGGCTTATACATGGCTCTTAACAAATACATTGGTGTCTGCACAATGTGACCTTAAATGATCACATTTCTGAATCTGCCAGATGAAAACGTGGAAGAGCTCAGTGATCTTCAGAACACGTTATGTTGGAGGTTTGAAAGCAGGTTTGTAATTACTGTTTGGCCGACAGAACTGATGGCTCCCCGTTCTTACCATCCAGACACAATACTGCTTGATTATCACTTCCAGTGACATTCAGAGAGAAGTTACTTGGCCCACGGCCATTGTGTGTTGTCAGTGTCCCATGGGTTTTAACTCCTACGGGAACTGAAATCAGAGAACAGTAGACACCCTGCCCTGCTCTTGCATAGCCGCAGGATGCTTTTTCCGACAGGGTGTGCCTAGGTGTTGAAGAGGTTTTCAATACTCACGGATGCAGCCATGCATACTGTGCCTCACATAATTTCAGTAGCAGAGTATCATGCCAAGAAGGCACCAGCCCATTGATATTTAATTGTTTGTGGAGCCCAGCCACGTGTACAGATTTTTGTTTTCTGTGTTGATTTGTAGCATGATTTTGACATTTATGATTAGTTAAAATGGAGTCATATAAATTACTGTGATGCCTAGCAGGCAAATTTGCAAAATACATTTGAAAAACTCAGATACCTGAGTATCTTAAATATCCCTAGCCCCCAAGCCACTGGACAATTCACCACCTGCCTGTAGGCAGACCTACCAGACCTGCCATTTCCATTGCTTTGGTATTTCAATACCTGGATGAAGAGTTAGAATGTACCCTCAGCAAGTTTGCTGACGACACCAAACTGGGAGGTGTGGTAGATACACCAGAAGGCTGTGCTGCCATTCAGCGTGACCTGGATAGGCTGGAGAGCTGGGCAGAGAGGAACCTGATGAGGTTCAACAAGGGCAAGTGCAGGGTCCTGCACCTGGGGAGGAACAACCTCATGCACCAGTACAGGCTTGGGGTGGACCTGCTGGAGAGCATCTCTGCGGAGAGGGACCTGGGTGTCCTGGTGGACGACAGGTTAACTATGAGCCAGCAGTGTGCCCTTGTTGCCAAGAAGGCCAATGGGATCCTGGGGTGCATCAAGAAGAGTGTGGCCAGCAGGACAAGGGAGGTTCTCCTTCCCCTCTACACTGCCCTGGTGAGGCCTCATCTGGAGTACTGTGTCCAGTGCTGGGCTCCCCAGTTCAAGAAGGATGAAGAGCTACTGGAGAGAGTCCAGCGGAGGGCTACAAGGATGGTGAGGGGACTGGAGCATCTCCACTACGAGGAGAGGTTGAGGGAACTGGGCTTGTTCAGCCTGAAGAAGAGAAGGCTGCGAGGGGACCTTATAAATGCCTACAAATATCTGAAGGGTGGGTGTCAGGAGGATGAGGCCAAGCTCTTTTCAGTGGTGCCCAGTGACAGGACAAGGGGCAATGGGCACAAACTGAAGCACAGGAAGTTCCGTCTGAACATGAGGAAGAACTTCTTCCCTCTGAGGGTGACGGAGCACTGGAACAGGCTGCCCAGGGAGGTTGTGGAGTCTCCTGTGATTCAATATCAGAGATTCTTCATGTTCAGTACTAATGCACGTGCTGTGTCATTATCTCTTTGTTTTTGGCTTCTGCTGCTTTTTCTTGTTCCTGTGCTATATGTGGTCTCTTCTCTTTGCTATTCCTTCAGTGACACACTTTCCCTGAGCAAAATATGTAATCTCCAAATGAGATCATGTCTATTGCTGTTTCTAATTGCCGTGGTTGCAGGGAGATACTGTATACTGGACACAGAGAGAACAGAGAGCCCGAGGACAGAAAGATTGCCCTTTATTTTCAGTATTCCTAACAGTAGGGTAAAGTTTCAAACACTTGCTAATAACTGAGTCCATGCAAAAGTGTTTTGGTTTCGGCTGCCGCCGGCAACAAAAGTGCCACGCGGCCGCCCCTCCCCCTGCTGGCGTGCGGAGGAGAATGGAAAGAAAGAGGCAGAAACCGGTGGGTCGGGATAAGGGCAGTTTAACAGAACAGCAAACAGAGGGAAACAGGAACAACAACGATACAAATAAGGAGAAAACACAACAACGAACCGTACGACCCAGACAGCCGCTCTCCCGAACAGCACTGGCGCCGCGCCCCTCCCAAGCCGCGAGTGAGTTCCCGCCGTGCCGCCCCCCCCCACCGGAACCCAGCGTGACGACACATGGTATGGAATACCGGGCTCTGTTTGGCCAGGTGGGGTCAGCCCCCACCCCCCGGCTGTGCCGCTTCCTGGAGTCCGGTGAAAATTAACCCTGTTCTGGCCAAACCCAGGACAAAAAGGTTTTAACAGAAGTTTAAAAGCCTTTCTAAATGAAGGAGTGGCTATTTCAGTCTGTATGAGGTAGTCATTTGAACCAAATCTTACCAATCTTAACTTCATACATGGAGAAACGGGGGAGAGAGAGTTTAAAATTTTCATGTTGGCATGTCACGTGTCTGACACCTGTCTTGGATTCTTCAAACAGCATCAGTTTTATAGGGAACTGTGTTAAGAGTGAGGTGTGACTGTGTCAAAACAAAAGAAAAATGGAGGCAATTGCATTCACGAAGCAGCTTTTGTAATTTAGAAATTCAGAGCAACAACTGGTAATTGGATTAGTGGAGACTCGGCTTTCTCCAGAATGGGGTCTTCAGTGCGGAGATATGAAAACTTGACTAAACTGGAATGTCTTTATATGATCGCTTATAGATGTGTGTTTTAATTATACCACTTTCAATGTAAATATTCGTGCTCATGGATAAGATTTTACTGGTTTTATATCAGTGTTATTAAACTGAATTCAGTACTTCTTGTTTTGCAGTGCAGGAAGACTTAGATTTAGTTTTGTGTTCCTTAAATTTACCCATTTTAATAATGACCAAGCTCTCAGAATAACAATTGCTTTGTTTTTTGTCATTGTCAGATTGTACAAGCTATGCCAGCCACCACCAGCTGTTGGAGAAGAATGAGGAGAACTGCTTCAGAAAATAATCCAGTAATGGCCTTTAGGATACTGGGACTATATGACAAAAATCTGGCTGCACTATGGCAATGTGTACCTGGGGCTTTGATAAATAAAGAAACCGTTTACTCAGGATAAAGAAAGAAATACACCAAGTATTCTCTATTGGCATTGAAAAATGACTTCCAAAAAGCATTTCTGGAATCTGTGCACTCTGGCCTTACCCTAGCCGAACAGGAATCTTCCTTGGGACTTTTACACTGGAATTGGATTCATTTGATGTGTCTTGTTCAGCCACACAATAGGTATAGCTAGCAGCTTGAAAACAAATGTCTTGTTCAGAGAGAATGGCTTGGAGTTGGTCTCTTCTCCCAGGTAACTAGTGATAGGATGAGAGGAAATGGCCTCACGTTGCATCAGGGGAGATTTAGATTGGATATTAAGAAAAATTTCTTTACTGAAAGAGTGATCAGATATTGGAATAGGCTTCTCAGGGAAGTGGTGGAGTTGCCATCCCTGGAGGTGTTCAAAAAATGTGTAGATGTGGCACTTTGGGATATGGTTTGGCAGGCATGGTGGTGTTGGGTTGATGATTGGACTTGATGATCTTAGAGGTCTTTTCCAACCTCAATGATTTTGTGATTCTGTGACTTCACTTGTACACTGTACAGAATGCGTTCTTCTGGAAGGAATAAAAGCCTAGAGAAACTAGGCTTGATAACGAGCATGCACTTCACAGGGGGCCTGTTGCACTGATAATTTTTTCCCTTTTCCTCTGTTGCCATCATAATTTGTTAGGATGATGACATTACTGTTTCAATGATATAATGTAAGTGAGTTTTAAAGGTGGAAAACTCATCTCAGAATTGTGTTTAATGGCTGCGGGCAGACTGCTGCTACAGATGCGTGCTTGTAATTCGTAAACTCAGCTATGCCTTAAAGCAGTCCATTGTCCTGCTCCTTTCGAAGGAGTACCTACACGGCATACGAGGTGAAGTTTTGCCCTTTTTCAGTTGCCATTCTAATGAAGGAGAAGGGCAAGTCTGATCTTCATCCATAGTCAGACTGAATTTCAGACTCTGTCTGATGAATGTTTTACATTCTTGCGCCTCTGCAGTTCAGAGTTTTCCAGAGCTGTATAGTACTATGCTAGCAAATCCACAGAAGGTGAGGATGAGGCAGTATTGTTGTGTTTAACTGGAAATGCCTGTGGCTTAAGTTGAAGCATAGTTTGGGGGTTCGATGTTTTATGCTACCATTTCCCATATTTTGCCAGAATGATTTTATAGAGCATTTCTGTTCTTTGGAGTGTTAATTGTACTAGATTTATTTTGAAATTGTACCAAGTATTTAGAGGGCCCAGGGAAAATGTATCTGTGTTTGGCTGTTCTTTTGGCCAAAGAATTTTCAGAGAAAATGGCCCCAGATGAGGTTTCATATGTGAACACATTAAAACAGAAACTATATTCTGAAATAGTTCTACTTGTAGCAGTAGCTACCCTTTCTATTAGAGCAGGACATATACTGTCTGAATAAAATTTATTTTTTGTACAACACCGGCCTATAGTTATGCTGTAGCAATCAAACCTCACAACATAATTGTTGCATATTATGTAATTATTTATGAAATTTTCAATAATTATATTAATCCACAATGAAATAAGTGAGAATTCAAAATGAGCTGTACTCTTGCAGAGAGTGTTTTTTATATAGGATATCTAGGGGACTTGTTACTTTTCTCCAAAGGAGGAATTAGAGCTCCTACCCTTTTCAGTATTCTTAATGTTTTTACACAGACTTTAACTTTGCTAAGAAAATAAATATTTTTATATACCCACAGATATATATGTCTGCACATATACGTGACTTTCAGTATGTATATATTTATGTAATCGTATCAATTACTGGTCCAACCTTAAATATAGAATGTTTGCCTTAAACTGTGACAAAGACATGCAATAACGATCAATTCCGTAACAATTTCACCTTTGTGCTTTGAAGTTTACACTCTTGCATAGTGACTGGAAGCTGTGGGACAATAATCTTTTTGATTAAAACCAAAAAAATAAAACCAGAAAACAAAGTTTCATTCTTTAGAAACTTACTCTTTTTTGTCTAGGAAGACCTAACGCTTGTACATAAGAAGGAGTCATGATTTCTGTAGTTGCTGCTCTGGTCAGGATCTTATACTTGTGGGTGTGTTTTATTCGGAGAGGCAGTGTTGGCTAGGGTAATTCCCGCCCCAGGCAGAAGTGCCAAAAATGTTTCGGTTTCTGCTTGTTCAGACATCAAGGGCACAGAGGAGCCATAACCACCACCTGCTGAGGATGGTGCTGGCGTCAGCCCTGGCTGCGAGCTCGCATCTTCCTCTGGGATTTGCCCACAGGCGTTTTGGGATTTTTCCTACGAGGCAAGTCAGCTGTCAGCTGCATGGAGCTGCTAGTCCTGTATAACATAAAATAACCTAAGGGATGAAATCTGTTGCATGCACATGCATTATTGTAACTAGTCATCGTGCTTTTTTATTGCATTGAAAGTGCTAGGAGTGCAAATATGCCAAAAGAGTCTCCCTGTATAATATGGTGGTTGTCAATTTGTTTTGTTGTTGAAAGCGTGGGGTAACAGACATTTGTAAACACCGAGGGACAAACAGTTACGTGCCAGTCCCTGGACCAGATTCTTTAGCTATTGTTTCATGAGTGTGCATCAGAAATCTTGACCTCTAGTTTTTGTATCTAACTTCTGGTTCTTTATTCTTTTTTTCCCTGTCCAGAGGCAGTTTTCAAAAACCTATTTCACTCCTATGAGCTTCATTGGTGACCCATGCTGCAAAACAAAGCCTCTATTTAGCCTGGTAGCAAAGGGGCTGAGAAATTGAAGCCCTGGTTTTCTGGGATTACAGGTAGCATGTAAAGATAGGATTTCCAGAGGAGATTAAGCATACATGTCCCACTGACCATCTGTGGCAAGTGGGTGCCCAATTTCTCAACCTTCAAAAGCCAGTGTTCGCTTGAAACATTGTGCAGCTTTTCAAACTGCTTTTCTTGTCCCTCTGTTTTCAGAGCACACTGCACGTTCTAACACATCTGGCTTCTAATAACAGTAGATGGACCTTCAAGAAGCCCATTCTTAAATTATAAATTCACATATGTTTGTTATCAAAGCTATTTATCTTGTTTGGTGTATGTAGAGGATGTATTTGTTCCTTATGCCAAGTTTGCAGAGTTAAAAAAATCCATTCTCATCACAGTACGTTTATCCTCTCGTAAATTTTTAGACTGAGATGACAAGAAGAGATGACCAAGCATGATGACTTACAAGAACTATAACCCCCATAGCTTGTTAAATCTTTGCTTCTATGCAGCCTATTTTTATGACAATGTGTTGTACTGGTTTAGGGAATGCATTCTGTATGTAATTTTTACTTTTTCATCCAAGACAAGTGTAATTCTTCTGGGAATAAATTCAAGGATCTAGAGACATACAATACCAGTTACTGACTGCCATGACTCAGTGGTAGTCTGTGGGGGATACAGAGGAGATTTAATGGCTGGGAAGGGAGGGTTAAGGGCTGAGGAACAGCTAAATTGCCATAGGGTTCATGCTTGGAGAAAAGTTAGATTTCGATTTTAAGGTAGAGCTGATGATGTTTGGCCTATCTTTGTAAACATTTTCTATGAATAATAGGATGCTAAACAGTCTTTAATCTATGAAATGAGCATTGATTCAGGGTAGTTCCCCAAACTAAATATTCCACGACACCTGTTTTCCTTGTAGATTGTAAATGTAAATGAATACAAAAATGTATATGTTCCAGTTTCTCAATATGTCAAACATTT